CTGTGTCGACGTATCAGTGCTTTGTATGCTTCTATATTTGCTATTTAAACCTCGAAGTCATTGAAAAATTGGAAGCGAACAAAAGTGTGAGGGCGCTTTCCACTCTGGCGCAGCCACCGGAAAAGTCTATTCCATTCGCCCTAGAAAATTTCCGAAATTCATACCGGAATTTTTGGTCGAAGGGAAAGCGCCCATTATTTCGTTGTCTTGACATTTCTTATTCGGAAACCACGTTTACCATGCTGTACTGTGCTTGTGTTGTAATGTACCCTTTATTTTATAGTTTTGGTTGTGTTCCCATTTCAACCTATCAAGTACTAGTAGCTGCAGTTTGATCAAGCGTTGAGTAAATGACCGTAAGATACGGTCATTTCATAAAGTTTTTCGGTGAGTAATTTCTTCTATTGCCCTATTGTAGGTACATACAAGGCAATGGGTTTGTTCAAAGAACGCAGATACCTGCAATTGTGGAGCTGTTCTTCGAGATCATAACGACGTGATAGAATTTAACTGCTGCAATGGAAATCTTCATTATGACCAGACGACCCCTGTTCGCGTAAGAGTAAGCAGCAAAAACCGTCTATCACCTGGAATATCGGTGACACAAACCCTTGAGGGGTTCAACAGCAAATACATAGTAAGTACTCGCTATGGACATGGTGTAAAATGTGCATGTTTCTGTTTCTCTTCAGTTTTGGACTGCATTTAACCAGTTTCATTTTTTCTCCTTGTTCACGGGCATGTCGGATTAGGGTAATAAATATGAGTCAAAGGAACCTAGAAAACCGAATCTGGTTGAAATAATAAGCCCAAATCAAATTTAAGCATAACATAGGTACAACAGATACGTCTGCCATGTTACTGTTTGACAATCTTTCGCTCCGTTACGGTGTTCAATGCCGAGATCTATTCTGTGCTGCATGCGGTCCGTAAATTTCTGCAGGGTTTAAGACGACTGTAATTAGACAGTCTCAGGATATATTATATTAAAACTCTACATTTTCTTTTCGTTTTCTTTTTCTTTTCTTTCTCTGTTTTTTTTTTTTACACGTAGGCAATAAGCAACCATGAATTCGTGTATTTTTTTTCTATCCATTGCGACATTTTCTCTTTCAAAATTTGAGGTGGCTCTGAACAACCTTATCAAGATAGTTTTTTTTAACTTTGCAAAAAGTTGTATCTCATCATGCTTATCACAGTTTGAATATGGCCATGTCGTAAAGAGAGTGCTGTCTACCTCACGTTCTCTTGAAGAAGCTATGCCATGCTTGCAAGAGCCTTAACGTGATATTCTTTTCCAATTTAAAAAAAATTGTATTGAATATCACGTAGAGGAAGAGCTAAAAGTCGCATTGTGACACAATAACTTTGTTCAATGGGAATTGCAGTCAATGAACGTTGAAGGTTCTAGAAAAATTTGCGAATACTTATATTTATAGCAGAATCGTCTACTTGAACTTTTAGACAGAGATGAATCCACATTTCAAAGCCTCTGTTACATTTTTAACCTCTTTTTCCGAAGTTCTACAAATTGAATTTGCTTAAAAATTAACAGCGGAGCACCATAACTAAAGGTAGAGAACCACATGCATGCGTAGAAATGGAAAACCATGTACATGTGTAACTCTTTATTCATGGTCAACATGGCTGTTTATTCATGGTCACGGGCGCGTGCGCCCAACATCGAAAGAAGAAAAACGATGTCGCACAACATGGCGGCCGTACTCCAGCTCCAGTTAATACCAAGTCTTGCAGCCTTGGTTTACTGTGTACACCATACATGTTATGGTCAATTGACACCTGCTAAAACAAGGTATCCGCTGACCAGCATCACGTGACCATATCGCGTGCTCAAGGTTAGAGCTCATCGGGCTCATGTGTTTTTTTTAAGTTGACCGCTGACCAAGCACTGGGTTTCGGTTGCATCGCGGACTCAAGCGAGGTTAACCTGTAATGGGCCGGGCTTTTCTGAAGCCAGTTAACGCTAGACCAGGATTAAAAGTTGACTGAAGTATAATTTTTTCTTATATAAAAATGTTTTTCCCAGCTTATGTCTATTGTAGTTTGAGGTTATTTAAACTCAAAACAGAAGGGCAAACAATATACACCTAATTGAAGAAACGTCATGAAAAAGGTATAAACCATTAACGATACGACACAGTAGTTTTATGGGAAACTTGCAGACTAATGCTATTTTGCATTCTTACGGCCCCGTATTAAAATTACTAACTACTGTTACAATCTCGGGTATATCTCGAAGCTCTTAGCGTTCAAAGGTTCTTTTGTTTTCTAGTTTAGCTAACTTTAGGAACGCATAGGTAGCTTCTATGTTTTTCTTAATCAGCACCTTGGGCAGCTGACCTGTGATTATAAACGCCCCGATGAAACAATCTTGAATATTCATGATCATGTAATAAGCACTTTTTCAGTCTTCCAATAATTCTATTAAGTCGTATGGTTTACTGACTTCTGTTCGGACAACGTTTTTTCAATTAGGTGTAAACAGAAAACCTCACCGCAAAGTTATAAAACTCAAATCAAATTTCTTGCTTATCCTGGTTTAGATTAATCGGCCTTTTGAACAACCCGGCCCAGGAGCTCCACTTTTACGCATGGCTAAATCTGTATATTATTAGTTTCAATTAAGGTAGGATTTTTTTCGAAAGCACCCTTTATGCCCTTTAACCGTCGGACGTACAAGCAAACTCATAACCCCACTGTAGTACAAGGGGCGGGGGAGGGGGGAGGGAGTGGATGGAAACGCTCCCCTGGGTTTTTGTTCTGTTAAGGCAGAGCGAAATAAATTTACATTGAATAAACAGCCCTGAGCTTGCTCTACAATATGACTTTCGTTTGCGATTATATAAAGCGAACCTATGTGAAGACTGTATCGTGATCGCAGCAATCCATATTCGTTTTGTTACTGGCTGAGATCGAAAGCTTGCAGGTGGGAAAGAAATGTCTTCGAATATCCTTTAGCCAGGAATAAGTTTGAATTAGCGCTAATGCATTATTCTTCTGGTCGCGCTACAGCATAGCTCATGCTCTTGGTTCAGTTGATGTGGTTGATTTAGGTATTGATAGGTTAAATAAAGTGAACTTGTGTGAAGATTGCTTTAATTCCGACTTAAGAATTGTTGCAAAAATCGATCTAGCAATTTTGCACCCAAGCCCGTATCTGATCATTTCAAATAAATGCCGAAAAATCATATCAGTGTAAAATGGGGTTGACTAGCCTACACGATTTCCACGTTTCGTGACATTTGTACATTTACCGCTCTCTGTTCTGTCACTCGACCTTTTTTTATCGCCTCACTCGTGTTTATGAAGGGCACTTCATGTTGTGTAATAAGGAGGAATTTTAAGTAGAGCTGAGCCGTTAGATCGTGCTATGGCAGTTTTTTTACAGGTCATAGGTCTGCATGGTTTCCGCTGTTATCTGCATGTCGCTTCGTAGGGTTTGACACTTCTGTAATTTGCCATGTGTTTATGCATTGTTCAGGTTCATTTCTATTGCAAGATATGCTTTCAAGTCTCCACGAATTTGCTTTTGATGGACAAAATATGAAATTTACCGTGAACATGTTGCTTACTTGCATTCTATATTGTAACGCTGGGCCCGACTGTGATTAGAACTGTTTGCAAGTACATAGATCCTTATCACGGATATCACATTTGTTCTCGTACGTTTTTCGTCGGAGACACCGTAGCTTTACTTCGAGAAAGCTATACGTTTGAATTTGTTTAGAGACATTCTTATGTTTCTTGCAGCTATCTGATGGAGCTTATGTTTCTCCTACTCGATGTATAGGTTTATTCCTCCTTTGGTCGTTCTGGCACCACATGATTCAAATGCAGCTGTGTTGACTGTTTTGCGTGTTGTATACGCCATTGTTCGGCTTAGTTCAGGCAAGACCATGGTTTCGATCCTCCATCTGGATCTCATCAGTTGCCGGTATTTCTAAACTGCTCTGTACGTCTGTAGCTGCCAATAGCGCAACTCGTACATATGTGAGAATGTTAAATATTTTGCCTGAACTAAGTGGAGCAATGGCATATATACACAACACGCAAAACAGAATATTTTCTTAGATGTCTTTTCCTCCCTAGATTTCGTGCAACGTTTCAGCCCGGTATACCAACTCCACGGCTAACCCTTGGAGCCTCCCCAAACCTGCTCGTCAACCAGTCTTCGTGGGAATAAAAGTAAGTATTGCCTTCTTGATTGTTTCACACTGATGAACGAAAATCAGGCAAATCATCCTTTAGCACTACTCGGACGCGCACTGACAGAAGAGGGGATTCTTCCTTTTGAACTTTAATGATCGTTAGGGGAAGGAGCATGCAGGGACCCTCAACTATGTTTTTTATACGTGCTAAGGAGTTTTTTCCCAATTCCTGAAACTTTCAGAAGCTGTTTAATTTTCCGTCTGGAATTGTTGTAAACATCTGTGACAGCCGTACCGGTAACAAAATTTACTCACTTTATTACGTTGGCCTTCAATTGTTAGCTGACTTATCATTTCTCACTCCAAATAACAATTCTTAAATATAATTCTTCCATGTTAGGAATATATGTAAATCCTAATAAACTATGTGAAAGGGCAAGTCTGCGTAAACTTGATTAACAAACTTGCCTCTTAATGTGGAGAATCCGACGAAAAGACGAAAAATTCGAATTTTATTTTGTGCCAAATTAAAAAGACCCTTTTGGTAAACTTCTAAACTTCTAAACTTCTAACTTTAAAAGTTCCAGGGAGTTCATATTTTTGAGAAATATAAGAAAGTTCGAAATACCGCTCAATTATCCAAGATGGCCGATGGCATTTATGCGAAATTTCGCATTTTCAACAGGCCAGTACGGAAAGAAAAAAAAAACTGCCTTGATTCATATACTATATCAACACAACCGTCGCAAATGTCAAATTTCAACTAATTTTAGAGGGTAATAACTCTTCTAGTATACGAATCTTTCCACAAATAAGAGATTCTAAAGTAAGAGCTATGCAATGGGTACGCCATATCCAAAGAGTTAGTTTGGCCTGTGAATATTGAGCGCGCTAGACGTAAAACCATGAAGATTATTTTGACCAGTTGCGCCATTTTCAGGCGACGGAGCGAAAACTTCGATTTCCCAGCCATCGTTATAGACATAGTGTTTCATAACACAAACTATTCTTTGGCACTGTGTATCACACTTGTAAGCAACAATTTAAATCATACCTCAGAACTGGCCTTGGTTATAACTGGCAAAGTCCTGTAGAAATCTGCGTGAGAAGACGAACTGACTTATGACCGGCCATCAAGAGATGACCGTAAATTTGACAGATGGGACAGAGAAACTTTCGTTACTTGTTTTGACCATTTTTACTCACCCTGTATCTTTTTCTAAAACAATGGAGTGGAAAAAGGTCAAATGCAGCGGCTTACATTATAATTAAAACTGCCACTGGTCAGCTAGCGTGGTAGATATGTTGCCGGAGAGTTGCATGGCTTGACACCGTGACAAGGAGGGTAATTTGCGTATTCGAGTTCTTCACTTGCGGTCGTTTCGGACACACGTACAATCAATCTTTGAAGTCGCGATTGGTTCCATCTTTTCCACAGATTCATCAAGTTTAAACAAAGGAAATCATG